ACAAACTGGCTCCCTGAACTTAGCTGTCCAGCCTTCAAAACTGTGACCTAAATAAACAGGTTTAGTGCCATATTTTCTTTTTCAGATACAGCTACTTTTTATTTTTTGAGAATTCCATGTGTACCGTATTTACATTAATCTGCTTCCTCTCCTTCCTCCAATTCCTTCCAAATCCCTCCCACTCCTCAAACTTTCGACTCCTTATTCTTTAATTATAATTGCTACACACACACACACACACACACACACACACACACACACACAGTCCCAGGTAATTTTCACTTCCTGCCCACTTCTCCCGTTCCCCTCTTCAGAGCCCCCACATGTAACTATTCCCTTCTCTGTGTCTCCTTCTCCCCCTGCTTCTCCTTTCCTGCTGGTTCCTTTTTACTTCCTGGTGTCTGCAGTTACTCCAAGCACACATTTACATCTAAAGATTTGAAACTGAGATCCATGTGAAAAGAAGACATGGCATTTGGCTTTCTGGGTCTGGGATGCCTCATTCAGTATAACATTTTGTTTGTTTGGTTGGTTGTTTGGTTGGTTGGTTGGTTTTGGTTTTCAAGACAGAGTTTCTCTGTGTACTTCTGGCTCTTCTAAGAACTTGTTCTGTAGACCAGCCTGGCCTTGAACTCAGATTTGCCTGCCTCTATGTCCTGAGTGCTCAGATTAAAATGTGTACCACCATGCCCAGCTTTTGTTCAGTATAATGTTTTCTAATTCTGTTTACCTGCAAATTTTGTAATTTCATTTTTCTTTGCAGCTGACTATGCTATACATTTTGATTATCTATTCATCAGGTGAAGGACATTAGGCTGCTTACATTTCCTGCCTGTCGTGGAGTAGATGAGCTATATGACCTTGGCTGAGCAAGTATCTGTGGAGTAGAATGGTCCATATGGTAGATCTATTTTTAGCTTTTTTGAGAATTGTCTACACTGATGCCCATAGTGACTGGACAGTTTTCAATCACTCCAACTGTGAATGTCCCCTGTCCCTACAGCCTTGCCAGCATTTGTTGTTGTCATTTTGTTGAGCTTAAGCCATTCTCCCTGAAGATGAAGTCTCAGAGTAGTTTTAATATTAATCCCTTAATTGGCAAAGATGTTAACACTTTCTGAGATATTTTTTAGCCATTGTCATTTCTTCTTTTGAGGACAATCTGTTCAGATCTCTAGCCCGCTTTTTAAATTGGCTCATTTGTTTTCTTGACCCTATTTTTATTTTTAGTTCTTTCTATATGCTAGATATTAATCATCTTTAGATGCATAGTGGACAAAGACACTTGGCCTTTCTTTTCATTCTATTGATTACTTCTGTACAGAACATTTTTAGTTTTATAAGGTCCAATCTGTCAATGAATGGCCTTAGTTCCTGGGAAAATGAATCCTATTCTGAATTTCCTTCTGAAAATTTCAGTCATGTGGCAGGATATGAAATCAACTTAGAAAATGAGTAGTCTTTCTAGACATCAGCAAGAAACACCCTGAGGAGGAGATTATGAAAACAGTCTCATTCACAACAGCTTCAAATACTGTGAAATAAACCTAACCAAGGAGGCAAAAGACTCTATGGTGAAAACTCCAAGTCTCTGCAGAAAGAGACTGAGGAAGATACTGAGGGATGGGAAGGGATTCCATGCTCCTGGATTGGCAGAATGAATACTGTGAGAGTGACCATTCTACTAAGTCATCTGTAAATGTAATGTAATCTTTCTGAAAATTCCCACAACATTCTTTATAGAAGTAGAAAAAAATTCCAAATTCAAATGGAAGCGCAAAACACTGATAGCCAAAGTAATCTCTAGCGAAAAAAAAAAGGAACATTCCTGGAGGGATTATAGCTCCAGATTTTAAGATATATCACAGAGCTATAGTAATAAAAACAGAGTGGTACTGGCCAAAAAATAAATCAATGAAACCAAATGGAAGTCCTGTGAACAAGTACATGTAGCTACAGTTATCTGATATTTAACAATGATGCTAGAACATACACCGTGGAAAAGACAGCATCTTCGACTAATGGTTTCAGGAAAACTGAATGTCCATATGTATAAGAATGAAATGAGGCCCCTATCTATCACCTTGCACAAAAATCAACTCTAAATTAATCAAAGACTCCATTGTGAAACCCAAAACAATGAAATATAGAAGAAAATCTAGGTTGTTCTGACTGTCTTTTGAAAACAGTGTTACGGAGTCACAGTTGTCTCTGACCATAGGAATCACTCTCTTAATGTATTCGTAAGTGTGATCATCATCAATGTCTTTGAGTCACACGTAGGTGAAAATCCTTCCGTCTGCTTTAGCACACTGAGATGGAAATGCTTTCCTTCTTCCATGGTCACTTCCCTCTTCCTGTCCTCACTACATCCCCAGCCTGAAGCAACTGCTCCTTTGCCTTCTAGCTCTGCATGTGTTCAGATTCTGAGCATTTTATATGACTGAAGTCATGTAACATGTGGTCATTTCACAGACACAGTAAAGTTCAACACAGTGTCTTCTAATAACTCAAAGGTCAAATTCTTAGGAAAGTTCAAATTAGAAGTCTGGCCGTTTCAATAAACACAGGGACCTGAGCTTAATGCCTAGAACTCACAAAACAAAGTCTAGGTGTAGGGGTGTACACTTATGGCCCCAGAAGTGGAGAAATGGAGACAGGCAGATCATTGGCCAGCCAGTCATGCCTTTTGGGTGAGCATCAGGTCCCAGAGAAAGACTATATTTCAAAACTAGGGTGGAAAGATCGTAGGAACTATACATGAGATTCTCTGCTGTCCTCTACAGTCTTGTACACATATGCCCCATCCTTACACCCTCTCCAAACAATAGTCACAGGTGACACTATGCAAGGAGTATTTCCTACAAAATCGGTGAAGTGTTGTCTTAATGTATGGAATAATTTTACATTTCAACATGTTTCATTCACCTAATGCAAAAAGCAAACTCTCTTGAAAAATTATCCATGGCTGTTCAGATTTGCTTTGGTAATGGTTAATCTTCAGCTGTTGAAACTGTTGCCAAATGACCAGCACAGTTTAGGGTGCTGGTCAGACATGTGCCTGAGTCATTTTACTGGTGTTCACTGCTTTATAATTTTGGCCAGCCGCTTGGCTTCTTGATATTAATTTATCTATAAAAAGAGAGGTCATTTTCTAAATTTGTAAAGTAGTATGGTATTTGAGATTATATAGAAGCCTAAGCGTCACAAGAGTGCAATGCCTGGCTTATATAAGATGCTAATTAGTATCTGTTCCGTATTCATCTGGTGATATGAAACCTGAATGACAGTCTAGCCCATATGGCATTGGTATACTGAGATTATACTTGAAAGAGAAACTAGGAGGATGTGTCTAATGCTGCATGCTCTCGTGTCCCAGGTTTTGAGTTAGCTGTGTTCTCTGCTGTTGCATTACACAGGGCCTGTTGACAGTTTGAAATTTTTTCACCATTTTAATAATCAAAATATTCAATTTGGCCCAATGCATGTCCCAGGCTTAATTCTTTAAGCAAGTGGCTATAATTTTCAAGTACTCAGGTCTGTCAAATATGAAACCACTTGGAGTTAATCCTTTCAATTTGTATCTTTGGTATTGATGAAAGGAATTATTTCTCAGGTCCTAGGCACTGAAGCATACTTCTTAGTCATGAAATTCTGCTTCATTATGACATGAATGCACATTTATGAGCCATGAGCAAGGTAACTGATTAGATCAAGTTTTATACAAAATGTGTTTTGGCAGGCCCTTTTATATGTATTCTGTTTGTTCTGTGGTTGGTGATATGAAAATGGAATGGTGTGTTTCAATATTTGAGCTTGTTATGAAGTTCTTCAGAAGTAGTTTAAGCCTGGCTTCCACAGGTGTTTGCACACACATGCATACACCTAGGCCTGGGTAGCACAGAAGAGTCCCTTTCCCAAAAAGCTTACAGGTCCTTACAGGGTTGCAGCACCGTGGATGGATCACACTTTGCAGAAAATCTGAAACTCAGGATGCCTGGAGATGTGTCAAGCTACCCTGGCATAAGCTGTAGTCTCAACTCCTGGCCCACACTCTGCCCTGAATCTGTTTCCTTTACTGGTCACTGAGATAAATTAATTGCAAGTTTAGAGACATCAAATAGCAGTGACTCTTCTGTTTCACCATGATGGAGACCTGACAAAGAAATAGGACATTTTTATCTGTTCTCTAGTGTCTTTTATATTCTCTGTTAGCCTTCTAACTCTTAGACCTCTCTCTGCTATCATTGGATTTCAAACAAACAAACAAACAAACAAACAAACAAATGAACAGACAAACAAAAAAACATTTGAAAGAAATTACAAGGCTTTTGTTACCCAATGGAAGGAGCCATATGCTGCCATTTCCCTTAACCCAGGCCTGATATTCTAGGCTAGTCAGTATGCATCTATTGAAGCTTCCCAGGGAAGCTAGTTCCAGATGTAATCATTTCAGTGAGAGTGTGGCTTGGGATCTATTTATACAGCTCATAGCCTGTAGTTTATTTTGTATGTTATTTGAGTATGGAGGCATTTATTTACTTATTCGTGGTGTGTGTGTGTGTGTGTGTGTGTAGTGTGTGCATGCGTGTTGTGTGTGTACTTGTTTATGTGCATGTGGGTGCATGTATATGTGCATCCAGGTGTACATGCACATGTGTGTATGTGTGAGTATACTTGTGGAAGATAGAGATCAATGTCAGGTGTCTTTTATAGTTGTTCTACATCTTATTTTTTGAGATAGTGTCTCTCATTGGATCTGACGCTCACCAATTTGGCAATACTGGCTTACCAGTGAATTCCAGGGATCTGCCTGTGTCTCCCTTCCCAGTCATGGTATTTCAGTTCTCAGAACCAACCTGGTTTTCTATATGGATGCTAGAGAGCCAAAGTCAGGTCCTTGTGTTTGGACAGCACCTAAAGGCATCATTTTAAAGCGTGTACAGTTTTTAGCTTATGTAGAGGCTGATGTGTAATGAATGCCCTCTGATTTCTTACAGAACTCAAAAATAGTCACAGTAAAGACAAGCGGAAAACCAGAATGCGGAAACGGAGAAAGAGGAATAGCCTGGCTGACGATGTGGCACTCTTAAAGAGTGGCTTGAACACCAAGGTGTTCTCTGGATATAGCAACAGGACAAACAGCACAAGGGACAGAAGGAATCACAAAAGAACCAAACGCTTTCTGTCCTATCCACGGTTTGTAGAAGTGATGGTAGTGGCTGACCACAGGATGGTTTTATACCATGGATCAAACCTTCAACATTATATTTTAACCTTAATGTCAATTGTAAGTATACCAAAGAGAAAATGATTCATGGACTGACTCAGTGTGCTGCTGGAGGATGGGTTTTCTTTCCTATTCTGCTTGTAGTATCAGTTGGGGCTGGCATTTCAGCCATTCACATAAATGACCCAAGAGAGTATGTGGTTATTCACTGGCTGCCTTTTTATAATGAAGGTAGTAGAAATCAGTACTGAGTGTTGGTTCTCCTCTGAATGTTGCACTTGTTACTTGAAAAGCATTGTTTGGCTTAGGTTGAGTTATCATCCCCATTTAATAGATAACACTGACTCTGGATGGAGTTATGTCATTTGCCCATGGTCAGGTTCAGCTAGCAAGTGCCTTAGAGGCTATGTGTGACTTCAGCTTGGTTTTTGTTTGTTTGTTTTAATTTTCTGGAACCTTGTGTTTTCTGCCTAATTAAGAAGCTTTGCACAACCTTGTTGTATTATGCAATGCTGGTTTGGAGTCTCAGTCATCCATGATGCTGTTTAAAAACTTATCTGCTTAGTTGAGCATCTTACTACGGTTTATAATCAGGTATGCCAGGGGAGAAGCCTAGGAATCTCTGTATTTTTCTGCTCCTGTATTGCGTCAGAAACACAATAAATCTGCATGATTAGAAAATCAAGTAGAACCTAACACTAAACATCCTTTTTTGTACATACACGTTCCCCCTGGACCTTCCCAGAAGCAAACATTGTTAAAGTCCCTGCTGCTTCTAACCATCATGGGCCAATAAAAATATAATCAAATTCACATTTTGAATTTTGGGTATTCTAGTAGTACATTTTAAAGACAGTCACAAAACAGATAAAATTAATTTTAATCTATTTTATGTCCATATACTATCATATCAATAATTATGGTGAAAGAGTTTACATAAATGTTTTCCACACTAAGCTTTCAAAATCCAGTTTCTGCTGGTTCAACTAACGATGTAACCAAAATATTTAGAGAAGCTGGAGTGATAGCTCAGCTGTCAAAGTGCTTCCCTCTCAAACGTAAGGACCTGAAATCAATCCCTAGCACACATATAAAAAGCACACATGTTGTATGTACATGTATGTAATCCTAGCACTGGGGAGGTACAGACAGTTAGAGTTTGCTATCCAGCCAACTTAGCATACCTAACAGGCTCCCAGCCAGTGAGAAACTCTGTCTCAAAAAACAAGGTAGACAGCTCCTGAGGAAAAATACTCACATGCACATACACAGTTGTGCACTGAAGTGCACACACACATACATATATGCACATGCACATGCACACATACATACCTCAGAAAAAAATTGCACCTATGTTAAACATACATAGAATTTCTTTTCACTCCATAATCAAGAGGACTGTTTACATTGTATTGGTTCTCATAAGTAACCTAGAGATGACTGACAGGCCATGGTCGGCCATAGGCTCTGTGCTGGTAATACACTGTTTTACAGAGGCAGCCTGAGAGATTGTGTGTTCCCCATCCTCGGCAATCCTGGAGCCAAGCTCTCTGACATACAGAGAAATTACTTCACAACTTTCACTCAAGCAGAAAAGGAACATTGTCATGTACTCCCTATACATTGGTCTTTTTTTTTAATTAATCACACACAGTGGTGCACAGAGATCCGATGTCACTCATTTTTCTTTGATGGGATTAACCCTTCTTTACCTGAGCAACAGCTTACTTAGAAGGAACTTCCCAGGTGCATGCTTGGGAGTAACTATTGCTTCAGGCTGTCCTCTTCCCTCCCCACTGCCTGTCCTACTTCTTGCTCTTTGCTGTGGACCATCTTCCCCTCCTCCTGCCTTTGCTCAGTTCTAACCCTGCGTGTCTTCTAGGCCTCAGCCCTCTCATACCCAGGGGACTGAAGGGAAACCTAAGCAGATCTCAGAAGCCCCAGCTCCACCTCCATCCCACTGTTTCGTGTTGTAAGAGGATTTTGACTACAGACCTGGCTTTTGAGCCAGATGACCTAGAGTGTAACTTCTGGCTCTGCTACTTGCTGCTGTATAGCCTTGGGCTAGTTACTTCTTTATCTGTCTGAGCCTCCATGGCCTCTCTTGTTTCTAAGGGATGGTTATAGTGCCTAGCCCAGAGTTTTGCTATGGGAACTAAGTACAAATCCAGTTTTCTGCCAGAATCTAGAGTAAGCACCAGCTAACATAGCTGACATAAATAATAATAATGATAATAATAATTGTGCAAAACCAGTTTACACTGCTGTTGAGGATATAAATGAACAATGAGCATGAGGAAGGTGTACCAGCATTTATGTAGGAACCCAGGACTTCAAATGGCAGGGAAGTGTTTAATGGAAAAGTAATATGTAATACTTTAGGACAAATAGCTGGTAAGTCATACAGTGTTGCAGCTACAAGGGAGAATACCTCAGAATTTCAATTTGCTAGATTTTGCTTTTATCTAAAAAAAAAATCCATCTATGAATTTTACAACGAGGCTACAAGTCAATATTTGTACAGTGAACATTCAGAACCGTAGACCACATGTGTTGCACGAAACGCAGGAAGTGATGGAGCCCAACCTAAGAAGTGAATTGCTTATTGCTTACACAGAGAGTCCACCATTAACTTTGAAAAATTTATCTTGGTTGCAGGTAGCTTCTATCTATAAAGACTCAAGTATTGGAAATTTAATTAATATTGTTATTGTGAACTTAGTTGTGATTCATAATGAACAGGTAATAAAGTTTATTTTTCTCTTTTTTTCTATCTGTATCCGAAATGGCATATCTAATTGGTGTTGTTGCATAGACCAAGAACACTTCTTCTCTGTGTTTAGGAAGGACCTTACATAAATTTCAATGCCCAGTCAACATTAAAGAACTTTTGCCAGTGGCAGCATTCCAAGAGCCACTTGGGTGGGATTCAGCATGACACAGCCGTTCTGGTCACAAGGTAAATGGATCACTGGTTCCTTGGATCCTTGGTGTCAGCAATGGGAGGGGTCCTGCATTGCTGATAGCCAGTCCTACCAGGGGAGGTTTTTACTATAGTTGCTATGGACTATTTATAGCAGCTAATTCTTTGTTGCTCTGGCTGTCCTGAGCACTGTGGTACTTTTGGCAGCATCCCTCGACTCTGGTCTTCACACACAAGTAGCACTCTCTCCCCTCAACTATGACAAGCACCAGGGTCACCACACACTGCCACATGTGCCCTGGGGGATAAAGGGGGTTACCACTCTGGCTGAGAATCTCTATAGTATACCTGCCACATGAGGACTCAGTCTTTAAGGCAGGCCTAAAAGCAAATGCCCTTCTACAGCAAGGGAGGCAGCTAATAACACTCAGCCTATAGCGGCCATGTAGGACCTGAGGCTAGTATTGCCAACTGATCCGATTTTTCTTTTTGCAAGAAGCCAGAAGGAAGGAATTTTTAAAAAATACAAAACCTCTCAATTTTTATATGGTAAGCTACTCTCAAGGGGTGTTTTTGAAATGTACAAGGCAACAGAGAGGTGCTGGCTTATTGGTTTCTCTTATTGTGGTTTCTCTTACCACCTCTGACAGTTATAAACACTCAACTATGACAAACAACAGGGTCACCACACACTGCCACGTGTGCCCTAGGGGGTGAAGGGGGTTATCACTCTAGCCGAGAATCTCTATAGTAATAATGAGAACTATAACCCATTCTCTTGTCCCACAACCCATTACTGGGGATTAAACCCAGGGCTTTGCCCAACCCTTGTAACTGGACTTTACAACTGAGCCACAACTCCCAGCCCATCGTTCCTCTTAAATGAACTTAAGTGCAAATCAGTGAGTACTTCACAGACTCATACTCTAGGGTATTGAGGAGAGCATTTCTGAGGCCAGGTGGAAGACATCTAACTGTGCTGTGGCTACCCTGGAGACAGCAATAGACTTCTCCGTGTAACCTTTAATCCTTAAATCCATGCTTCACAAAGTTTTGGGGGTTGCAAAACACTGACCTTGTTAGCTAGCCTTTTGCTAATCCCCTCCCTAAAAGGAACTAGAAGTCTCTGTGGGATTCTCTACTGTTGATCTTTACTCTGATGTTGTCAAAGCCTAAGTCTTTTTTGCTCGTAGGGAGGATATCTGCAGAGCTCAGGACAAATGTGACACCTTAGGTGAGTCCTTGTACATGTCTCCATGGCTAAACTGGTTCCCTCGATATTTCTCTTTCGAACCGTAATTGCTTTGAAAGTAAATCCACCTTGGTTTCTCCCCATCCCTTCTAACAGGTCTTGCTGAATTGGGAACCATTTGTGACCCCTACCGAAGCTGTTCCATTAGTGAAGACAGTGGGTTGAGCACAGCTTTCACGATAGCCCACGAACTGGGCCATGTGTAAGTCATTCTATTTACTGTCTCCTAAAACTTTGTTTTTTACTGGTAAGTATTTTCTTAACTTTAGCAGAGCCAAGACTTCAGAATAGATTTGACAGGATTGAAAGAGCTGAACCTTTGTGAGAAATTGAGTCAAAGCAATCCACCCTCTTCAGACCCAGTTCTGTGTGCCTTTGGTTGAACTGTTTATGTCTGATGTGCAAAGACTTAATAATTTCTCTCCTACTATTGGGGACTCGAAGAAAGATGCATTTTGATTCCTTCTAATACAGGAAAGGATGAATTAGTTTGGAGAGCTTCCTTGACTCCACACATGTGTCTAGAAGGTTGCCTCAACACTGCTCTAGCCCACAGATTTTTGGCAACTCCACATCATTCCTGATGCTGGTTACACATGGCTATAACTCAGCTAGCTATCAACTGGAATAGCAATGCCACTCCCTCAGAGAAGAAAACGAACAAAGAAGCAGAGAAAGTTTCATTTCCAGATTATGATCAGAACATGGCCATTGTGAGATAACTTTCCCTGTTTGTTTTTCAGAGAGAGAGAGAAAGGACACAGAGGGAAGACAAGAAAATCAGTGTAAATGTACCTGAAATGTTCCGATTTGGGACTACATTAGTGCATTTCTAAAATAATTGAAGTACATATCATTGGTATCTCTCAAATGGCTCTCTCAAGAGACTCCTTAGTGTAGTCTAGCTGTGTGCCCTTCTGTGTCAGATTCCAGCTTCGTATAGAGCTAACATTCTCAGTGAGGAAAGCTTTTCAGTTCCAATTCTTTTCAAAGACCTCTTGTACATGCTGTGCCAGGGATGGAGCAAAGGGTCTGCTCACACTTACACACATGCATGCAGGTACTCACAAGTTTAATTCCTCCAGTGCCTTTCAGCCCTGTGTAAGAACACATCTTTGCTGTTCTCTCCTAAGGAAACACAATTAGAGATTTAATGTTTAGAATGTAGTCAAAGCTTTCAGTGTGGGCAGGCCACACAGATTTAGTCAGCATCTCCTTGGTGCTTCTGATTCCCAAGACAGTCATGAAATGCAAAGAATCTTCAAGATGACTTATATTTCCAGGTTCCCTGTATGAATAACAATAATATGACCTGAACTGACCAGGCAGTGAAAGCTCTCTTTCCTTTACTAGCTCATCTACAAACAGTAGGGAATAGTACACTCATCCTTAGGTGTCTATGGGAGGCTACTTTCCAGACCTGTCATAAATACAAAACTCCACATATACTCAAGCCCTTTTGATGAAGAGGCATTGAATTTTAGCATCATTTAGATGACTCATAATACCTAATACAGCATATAGCTGTTATATTACATTGAGTCTGGGGTGGGGGGAAGTCTGTGCCCATTGAGTATAGAAACAAGTTTGGTTCCCCCCCCCAAACACCTTTCATCCACAATGAATGGAACCTGTGGGTGTGTGGTGCATGGATGCAGTGTGTCAATAGTACCATTCACTGCATCCAATGAGTGATGAAATGGAACATCCAAAACACTGAGTGCACGTTCTAGTGTAAAATGGCAGTGAACAGTCTCGGTTACTATCAGTCAGTAAATATTTTTAAAATACTTATTACATCCCCAGCAGTGAGCAAATGTACTCGCTTAAATGAAAATAAGTGTTTATTTGTTTGAGGAAATAAATAGACCCCATTTTACCTAGCTATGGTAAACTGGGAGAAGAGGCCAGCTCCTGTCCACCACAGAGGAGCAAGGTAGGATTGTGTGCCTTTCTTCCTTGAGATGTACTAGAATCAGTGTTGTGGTGACACCTGCAAGCTATGAAGAAAAGGGCTCTGCAATATTAAAACCTTTTAGTAAATTCATCTAATACAGATCACATTTTTCCATCTCTACTGGCAAACTGAAGGACCCACTTTTTTTTTTTTAAAGAAAAAAGAAACAGAACACAAAAGAATTAGTGGAACAGATGCACAGGCTCTAGTCCAGATTTTTCTTTTATATGAAACAGGTCTACACCCCTCTATCTCACTCATACTTCCTGAGTTCAGCATGAACTGGGGAATGGAATTCCTCTCTCCTTGCTAAATTAACCACATGCTCAATGTTCTGATTGACAGCAGCCTTTCCCAGAGAGAAACGATGACCCCCTGACCTTGTCAACTGGTGGATAATTGCCTGGGCTGGAAGGCCATGTGGGTCATGGAGGGGGTGCACATTGAGGAAATGCTATCGTTTTCCCCCACTTCCTCTGGTGAAGCCAAGAATGGAAAGTATGTGTGAAGGACGCTGCCACAGCCCGAGGACACTGGCGGTGCTCCACAGCCTCCCCTCAGGCAGAATGGGAAAGAGTTTAAGAATCTTTTTATGCCTGGCTTTTCAGGAAGCCAGTTCCTGTGAGCTGGCATTGGCACATGAATCCCTTTGCCATCTCTGCCTTCAGCTGGCTGGCCTGTGGTCTCTGTGCCACTCCCAATGAGTTCATGTGTACACTTTATATAGTTTCACAATGATACTTTACTTGATAAATACAGGTATATCGCTTGTCACCCTGACCAAAAAAATGAGAGATGCAAGGCTCACAGGGATCCTCTTATTACAAAGCGCTTGGCTTCCATTTATGACACCGATTTATTCTCTATGTCGATGACATGATAGTATCCTGCCAAAATCTTGTTCTATGGATTGCCCTTTAGCTGTCTACTAGCATTTCCAACTACTGTAGTCTAGCACCAACTACTGCACATTCAGAGCCTCTGCAATTCCAAAATGCATACTTACACCCAACAAATGGCCTGTGCATACCTCTCTGCATTCACTAAAGGCATTTTTTTTCCAAATTGGATCAAAATCCTCTGGTGTTCTATGCCCCATCTAGAATTGTCTTATAATTTATTCTGCTCATTCAGATTCTTATCCACAGCACAATAGACCATCAGCTACACTTTCTTCTTAGAGTTGTTAAGCAATGATGCCAGCATGAACCCCTGGTGTATTTTGACATTCTCACCATCGCTTCGTTGACTTTAGGTTTAATATGCCTCACGATGACAGCAATAAATGCAAAGAAGAAGGTGTTAAGAGCCCCCAGCATGTCATGGCACCAACACTGAACTTCTACACCAACCCCTGGATGTGGTCCAAGTGCAGTCGGAAATACATCACTGAGTTCTTAGAGTAAGACCTAAGCTTTCTTTCAGTAACAGCCTCTAGTGCATCAGTTCTCAGCCTGTGGATAGTAACCTCTTTGGGGGGACATATCAGATGCCTTGCATATCAGACATTTATATTATGATTCATAACAGTAGGAGAATTACAGTTACGAAGCAGCGACAAAATAATTTTATGGTTGGGGGTCACCATTATGTGAGAAACTGTGCTTAAGGGTCACAGCATTAAGAAGGTTGACAGCCACTGCCCTAGTGTCTGGTCTATATGAAGTAACCCATGGAGGGAAAGAGAACACAGAATCTGGCATTCTTTTCGTCTTGTTGCTCTTGCTAGCATTCCTTGGAGAAAGAAAAAACTTCCACTATAACATCTGTTAGTTCATAGCCTTGCCAATGTTTGGAAGACTACAAACTGATCTGAGCATGGAGCAGGGTTTGTAAAGGGACTATGCAAATATTTCTGTGTTTGTGTAAATGCTTTGAAATTTATTCAGGCCTTT